GCCTATACTTCCTGCCTAGCCACTGGCCAATCAGTGTTTTATTTATTGGCCAATCAGAGCACACATTTAACATACAGACCATCCCACAGCAACAACAACATAAGTGAGAGACACAATAGTGACCTTAAATGGTCCCCAAAGTCAGAGGCGCTGCAGTTCAGGAGGGACCTGGAACTCAGGAGCTCTGCCCTGAGAGGCAGATGCTGACAGCTGCGGCCTCCTCTCTTGCAGCCTGCCTCCAGCATCGGAGCTGCAACACCTGCATGTCCTCGAACCTGACCTTCAACTGTAGCTGGTGCCATGTCCTGCAGAGGTTTGTGTTCAGGTTACCCACGGACTTCTGAGAATGGACCATGGAGGTGAGGGTGGGGTCGGGCAGGGGTAGCCAGGGCTCACTGACAGCCTCAGGCCTCACTGCCCGCTGTCTGCTAGCATTAGGGCCTCTCTGCCCAGTGCCACTCTGACTCCTAGGACAAGAATGCCACAAGTAAGTCTCTCAAGGCTTGTACCTGATCAAGGTGGGTGTGTGGGTGTAAGGCCTGGGGTAGCCAGGCTCCAGGAAGACTGTCTGAAGACTCCAGAGGCTGTAGATCTCCCAGGAAGGCTGGCTCATTCTGGGCTAGAGCTTCTCAAAGAATAGGCCATAACTGGTCACTCCAAAATCACTGGTCCCTTCTGTCATGATTTCCAGGGAGACACCAGGTCTGCATCTTGTTTGTTTGTTTGTTTGTTTGTTTGTTTGTTGTTTTTGTTTTTTTGAGACAGGGTTTCTCTGTGTAGTCCTGGCTGTCTTTGAACTCACTTTATCGACTGTACTGGCCTTGAACTCACAGAGATCCACCTGTCTCCACCTCCCGAGTGCTGGGATTAAAGGTGTGCACCATCACTACCCAGCACAGGCCTGCTTCTTAACATGGCACTTCATTTATAAGCAAGTGACAGGCCATGACCCAAAGACTTATCACTGCCTAGTGAGCTCCATGGCCCCCCAAAACTGCCCCAATGTCTTGGGGGTGCAACAGGTTTCCTGAAAACCAGGAGCATGGATGCTGCAGGTATTGGAAGTTCAGGACATTCCGGATGAGATTCAGTTTTGGGGATAAAGTTCTTAAACCCAATGCATCTTCCAGCCCTAGTTCTGGAATCATCTCCTCAAAGATTAGACTTGTAATTCAACCTTGATTCTCCTAGCCAAGATAAATAAATGTTAGGAGATGGGGATTCCTTTGGGGACGCTGACTCTCCTAAGGGCAGGAAGCTCCACTGATTCCAAGAGCCTTTAAAGCCATCTTGAAAATTGCAAAATTACAGTCTCTAAATCTCCGTACAGCTGCTGCAGTGGTCAGCATTTCCTTACTCCCCTCCAGCATCCCAGAGCAGAAACAGAAGCTCTTCATCCTACAGACTGCCAGCCACCCACCAGAGAGTGGCTGGGACAGGATGCCATCCCATCCCTCCAAGGTGTTCTTCCCTTGGCCTGTGTCCTCCTTCCCTTTTTGGGGACCTCAATTCCTTTACCCTACGAAATGGTGTAGAGTATGTGACTCTGGGAGGCATGGGTGGGGTGCACCCTGTTTCTGCAGCTGCTGCAACCCCAGATAGCATTTTACCAAATGCGCCCAGGGCCCTTAGCAGGAGAGGCACAGAGCCCCAGGGGAAGTCAGCGGCATAGACCCCTAACTGTCTTCCCGGAGGGAGGCTTTACTCTCTGTGGACTGTGAGGACCACCTGGAAGGCTTGGTAAAAAGGGCAGCTGGGCTGGATGTGGTGATGTAGGCTTTTAATCTCAGCACTTAGAAGGCAGAGGCAGGTGGATGTCTATGATATTTAAAGCCATCCTGATCTACTTAGTGAGTTCTAGGACAGGCAAGGCTACATAGTAAGACCCTGTCTCAAAAACCAAACTAAAAAAAAAAAGCCAGCCCAAGGCTGGAGAGATGACTCAGCTGTTAAGAACACTGGCTGCTCTTCCAGAGGGATCCAGTGTTCAACTCTCAGCACTCAGTAGTTCAAAACTGTCTGCAATTCCAATTCCAGGAATCTGAGGCCCTCTTCTGACCTCTGCAGCCACTACACACATGTGCTACACAGACATACACGCAGGCCAAACACCCATATACATAAAGTAAAAATAAATACACCTTAAAAAAGAAATCCACCTGGGCATGGTGGCACTTGAGAGGATGAGGCAGGAACATCAGGAGTTCAAGGTCATCTTCAATTGGGTAGTGAGTGTGAGACCAGCAGCCTACAAAATGTGATCCCCAGGGACCCAGGAGTCTGATTTTTGGAGTGCTTCTTATGCATTTTCAAAGCCGAGCAGCATTTTCTGAGCCTTGGGGGTGATACTTCAGATGACCTCACATGATCCCTGGGATCTGGGGGCTGCTGCCAGGCATGACTCAGGATCCGACCCGTGCTGAGCCATAGGAAAATGGGTCAAACATAGCAAACCCTCCCTTCACCACCGCCCCCAGTTAGGGGCCACACCCAAACTTAGAGACTAGACGAACTTAGTGGAACAAGAGCTGGAGTCCCTGAATGTGAAGATGCTGGCCAGGAAGTGTAGGGGCTCTGCTGGTGAGCTCTGTCTCTTCGACAAAACAGGGATGCCCCATCAGAGGGCACAAGGGAGCTGAAACCACCCATCCCAGCCAGACACCCACAGCACTGGGCTCGCTCCAGCCCATGCTTCCCCCAGCCAGCTCTCTGGAGCCTCAACTCCAAGTAAGAGTTGATCCCAGTTCCCTGAAAAGCCAGAGGGCAGGGCCGGGACACTGGGGACACCAGTGGGTGTCTTCTCCCCTCTCTCCCACTCACCCTGCCCTCTTTGGCCACTCAGGGCCTCCCTTCCCTGCTCTGTAAAGAACAGTTTCACCGACCACGGCAGGTACTTTCATTTTTTTTTTTTTTTTGAGATTTTAAAAACACTTTATTTATTAAAGTTAAACATACAAAACTGAAATTAACACACACCCTAAAAATTGTCTTCTTCCAGTAACAGGAAGACCCTTTTTCTATCTGTGTTTTTGGCTTAAACTCAACTTGGATAACTGTGGTGCTCACTTATACCAACAAATGCTGGCAACTTGATCTAGTTAATAAAAAGTACAAACTCGGCTACATGAACATAATATACAGGGGAATTATGGTCAGATTAATGCACAAGAAATACAGGAAAAATTTAATCGTGAAACATTCAGTACTCTTGTTCATTAATTTAGCCTTGGTTTTTTACAAAAATAGTATCTACATTGTATACAGGGCTATACATCAGCTTTTTGTTTTCCCATATAAACATTACACATCCCCAAAATGGTACCACTACTACAAGTGAAAAATCAACAAAAGAAAAAAAAAATACAAAACACCAAATAAACACCAGAGAAGGGGAGCGTATCCTAAACATGGTTTGTTTGTTTTTTAATATAAAATTCAAACTCAATGACAAAAAAATACAAGGTGAGTCAATTGTAGAAGTGACCTAACAGGCCCGGGAAACAAGTAATTCAAGGAATAACCTCAAAATAAACTTTGCCATTTATAAATTAACCTATACTCGGGCTTGTCTGGACAATGGCCAGGTTATCAAACTGAAGATGTTTTTAGCAGGCTGGCATTTTGCCATGATGTTCCAATAAAATGATGGGATATGTCAAGTGCAAAGCACCTGAAAACTCCAAATTAGGACTTATAAAATATCTACTTAACATTAGTTAAGTGGGGACCTGAAGTTCAGTAAGTCATCTAAGTGCTGATTTAAGCAGCATCTACCTAGAAAAGTTGTCTTGTTCAACAAACTCTGAGGAACTGTGGTAAGTAGTAATGAAAAGTTAAATGATAGCAGTTATCAAATGTCTTCAAGTTTCATTCTACCAAAGCCAAACAATGACAACAATGTATCTTCCTTACTCATCTAGCAAATAATTTACCTTTAGAAAAATATAAGGATAAAAAGGTAAATGTAAAGCCCTGCAGAGATGAAATCCAACAGTTCTTCTGATTACTGAGGCATCAAATGCCTGACATTGTATTTAGATGTATCTTGATACTGTGTCATAGGCTTGTCAGCAATTCCACAAGTTCCTACTCCAACTTTGCCTGTTACACTTTCTGGCGAAGCAAAAATACTCCTCTTTACCTGGCCCTTCTTGTTTTTGGAGTAAGCCCTGTTGTTGAACTGCTGCCACTTCACCTTCTGGTCCTCTCTTTCCTGCTCAAGCTCTTTTATTCTCTGCGCTTTTTTCAAAGCTTTTTTCTTTTTATATTCACGTTGCTGGGCAATCATTTCTTTTTTTGACATGGGTTTGTTGCCACTGTCCTCTTTAGCCTTCCTTCCTTCTTCTACGGGTTTAAGGTTCAACAATGGCGTCACTTCGGCATTGCCATAACCAGCAAAGGTGATTGCAGCGGTGCCATTTTCTTCGTCTATCTCCTCAATCTCCGCTTCATAACACTGTCCATCTTCACTCCAGATTGCCATACATTTGTCCCCTACTTTCCATGAATGAGTGGGCTGAGTAGAAGCAAAACTGTCTGAACTTGCAAGAGTTTCTGAAGGTTGAGTTGACAGAAGATCTTTGGTCAATTCTATAACTTCTTGCAAATCCTTCTTCAATTTCAGCAGATCTTCATTTTCTCCGTTTCCAGACAAAGCAGCTTCTACTTGCTGGAGTTGAGCTTTGTAGCTAGCCAACTGTTTTGCTAGATCCTCTGACATCTTGGGCGGGGTTGGGGACGGGACGGCGGGCAGGGGTCGGGGACGCGAGCCCGGCGGCGGCAAGGGCAGCTGCAGCAGGGGAAAATACCCACGACGACGAGAAGATCCGAGCGGAGAAGGGAAAACGCCGCCGGCGGCCCGGTTCTTTCATTTTATTCTACACTGATCCCCACCACTTGTCCCCTTGACTCATAGTGGAGTCTGTGGGTGGCCTTAGCCCTGGAAATGATGGTCGTACTTCTCACCTTACCATGTCATTGTGAGGGTCCCTTGAGATGGGTCTGGTGCAGTGGCAGACCACCAGATATTCCAGAGATACTCAGTAAATGGCCCATTCCCACATTCTTCTCTGAGTCCGTGTTGGCTAGCTTGAGATTTCACATGTGCTATTAAACCCAAACTGAAGACTCTGGGTTGTGGTATTTTGTTTTGTTTTGTTTGTGTATATGGATGTTTTTCCTGAATATATCTCTGTGCACCGTGTTCATGCCTGGAGCCCTTGGAGGCCAGAAGAGAGCATTGGATCCCTTGGCATTAGAGTCACAGACAGTTGTGGCCCTCCCTGTGGTTCCTGGACATGGAACCTGGGCCCTCTTGTCTGGAACTTGCCGTGTAGACCAGGCTGGCCTTGAACTGCTTCTTTGGCATACACCACTGCAACCAATGTAAAGATTCAGTCTTTTGTGTTGTTTTGTTTTTCTTGTTTTCTGAGACAGGGTTTCTTTGTGTAGTCCTGGTTGTCCTGGAACTTACCCTGTAGACCAGGCTGGCCTCGAACTTAGAGATCTGCCTACCTCTGCCTCTAGAGAGCTGGGATTAAAGGTGTGTGCCACCACCACCACCACCACCACCACCACCACCAACAACAACAACAACAACAACAACAACAACAACCGGGCTCAACTTAGGTTTTTTTTTTTTTTTTTTTTTTTTTTTTTTTTTTTTGGTTTTTCGAGACAGGGTTTCTCTGTGTAGCTTTGCGCCTTTCCTGGAACTCACTTGGTAGTCCAGGCTGGCCTCGAACTCACAGAGATCTGCCTGGCTCTGCTTCCCAAGTGCTGGGATTAAAGGCATGCGCCACCACCAGCCAGCTCAACTTAGTCTTAAAAGGATCTACCAACATCATCAAAGCAGCCTGAGTTCCAACCTCCAAAGTGCGCTTTGTCCTCCAGCCCCTAAAAAGTGAGAGAACAGCGGTTGGCCCAGCTCAGCCTCTGGAGGCCCAGTGAGATAGCCCTCAGGGAATTTGGCTTTGATCTTACTGGGTGGGCACATGGCAGCTGCTGGAGTTGAGTTAACTTGCTGAGAATTCTTTCTCTGAGCTGGTAGCTTGGGATGTTATTCTTCCATTGCGATATGCTTGGGTCGCATCAGGCTTAGTGGCTTCCTCTGGCACCAAGAAGGAAGAACGGAAATTTAAGCAGGATGCTGGCAAAGAACATTCTCCAGTTCGTGCTTGTGCCCCACCCTCCCCCTAGGAAAGCCCTTAGTGTCTTCTTCCTCTTCAGAGACTCCTGCCAGTCTCTGACACCATTCTTTTGTTGTTGTTTTGGTTTGGTTTTTTTGAGACAGGGTTTCTCTGTGTAGTTTTGGTGCCTGTCCTGGATCTCGCTCTGTAGACCAGGCTGGCCTCAAACTCACAGAGATCCGCC